CAAGAAAAAGATGCTTGAAGTTCGTAAGCCTCCGCCACTATCAAACTATGACCGCTCCCTCGTGAAGTCACATGATGCACATAAGAAAAGGAAAAGAGCATCAGGGAAGGATGTCCCACAGCTCGGACAATAGAAGCAACCAATGCAAAATCTTGTTGTTGCTAATGAATATGGTTCCAACATAGAAGTCTATCGACCGCATAACTCGAGAAGTGTCGGTTCAAGACCTTAATGCTTTTTTTGAACAAACTGGTTTAACCTTGGATCAAGTGACGGCAAAGCTCCAATCGAACTCACGAAGTTGATACCGGAAGACTTATAAATTTAGCAAAAGTCTGTACAACCCTGCGGCTCTGAATGAATTGGATACACAAATGTACTTGCTCAACAAGTGGTACATACAGGCGTGTGGCAGGGGTGAGGAGTGGATCTTTGTCAGATTTAGAGACCATCATTACTTCCGTGGCGATGACATCTTATATATTAGTTTCGAAGAATTGCATCAACTATGCCACATGGACGTTCAGGACAAATCAATCATTAGCTCCTTTTGTTTGTAAGTGATTCTTACTTTTATTTAATAAACTCACTTCCATGCGTACTTGTATATAATTATCCTCACATGTAACTTATATTTATATACAGATTCCAGATGTCAGAGCTCCAAAGAATACAAGACACCAGTGTTGGCTTCATTGATCCTTATATCGTATTCAAAACTGATATTATTCCCAAGGAGCAGTGGGTATCTGAAACACAGAAGAATATCATGAGGTTCTTCGTGAAGCAGCACGACAAGACAACAATACTTTTCCCGTACAGCTTTGAGTAAGTGTTAATAATAATGTAGTCTACACATTTTATGTAATATCAATACAACTTATATGCATGTGCGTGTGTGTATAAACTAATGTAGGTTTCACTGGATACTCATTGTCATTGAGTTAAACTCAAGTCGGTTAGTAATCTTGGACTCGAAGAGAAAAGAGCGGCACTATACCAAGATATGATAGACATTATTCAGGGGTAATTTCAATCTCTCGCGCACAACTATTATTGAATAGACTTTGTCATAATTTATTAACGATCGTACATTATTGGTCGCACAGGGTTTGGAAAGAGTTTATTCGGCAATACCGCAAGGATTGCAAGGCACCACTTAATGTAGTTGAAATACCAGTAAGTTGTACTATATATACGTCCCCACATGTTTAATTACTATATCGTACTTTAATTTACATGTGAGATGATGAGAATAATCTTCTTCTCGTATAGTGGTGTTTGTGGCAGCAACCAGGTAATAACTTCTGTGGATACTACATTTGTGAATTTATCACTGCGCACATAAGAAGAACTCCTAAAGATGTCCTCAGAGTACGTATATATCAAATTTTTATTTATTTTTAAATGAATATATATATATATGTATTAATACTTTTCCTTTTATTTCAAATGCAAGACTGAATGGTTGAAACAAAGGGTCATGCAAAAAGACCATCTAAAAGCAGTTCAAGAGTCAATACCAGGATTTCTTCTAGAAAAAGTGCTAAATCCCAACGGCGAGTTCTACTTTGATCTTAAGGAATAAATGATGTAAATTAAATGTTTATTGATATCGTTATTTTCGAGAACAAGATTATGAAAGTGTTGTATATATACATATATATATCTATAATATATATAGTTTCATACTTTATTCGAATATAATAATGCTCGAGATGAGAATTAGATGTAATTATATGCTTGCGTGTATTTATATTAGCAGCGTAGAATACGTACATAAAAACATATTATATATTAAACAAATATGTGTAACTGAACTGAAAACAAATTAAACAAAAAAAGAAAAAGAAAAGGAACCTTTAGTCCCGGTTGGGGTTACCAACCGGGACTATAGGGTACGGCCACGTTTGCTCGGCTGGAGGGCCTTTAGTCTCGGTTGGTAATACCAACCAGGACTAAATGTCCCTCTTTAATTCCGGCTCAATGACCTGGGACTGAAGATTCCACCTTTAGTCTCGGGATCGTTATTCCGGCGCGGTAACCGGGACTAAAGGCCGTTACCGCCTGGGACAACAAGTCCATCCTGTAGTAGTGTGTCTATCATACATACGTACGTACGTATATTTAAAATGGTATATTTTAATAAAATCACAGGGAAAATGTCAAACTGTCCAAGATCAGAGGACAGAGGTATACGAAGCTTGTGAAAGCGCATTGACGAGTTGCCGTTTTATATTTGAAAAAAATAACCCATGGAATCAGAAGCGCGCGTCAGAAAACGCTGATCCATCCATGGTCAAGTCTGGGGCGTGTCCCACAAATTAAATGATCGAGAGAAAGTGCGCGCAGAAAATTTGCGACTTTCAACATCAACCTGCAGACTGATCCATCAGCTCAACATCAAATAATTATATTTGTATGTATTAGCTGCCTGCCTCTCTGACCATGTAGTATCTGCACTCCTGAGTGAACTGCCGTTTCAGCATTCCACTCGATATATCCAGATTATTTTTGCTGACTTGGTCGTAGTTAAACTATTCTTCATGTAAATGCTTGTCAAGGGTTTGACTAAGGATGGTATATACGCGTCGGATATCGCCGGAACGTTCTCTTCCCGCTACAAAAAATTCATCCCGTCCCCATTCCCGTTAACTGTCTCGGGTATAGATTCTTGCCCATCCCCGTACCCGTCGGGCATTGGTCGGGTAACAGATACCCGACGGGTACTGCATACCCGATAAACAAGGACACTTAGGGTCGAAGCTTTGCAATCGGAGACGTTTCTTCTTCACCCGGGTATAAGTGTCGGAGTCTCGGAGATGCCGAGGAGAAGGAGCGAGGTTGCGAGGAGGACGAGCAAAGGTGGCAGAGAGACCGAACTGAGGAAGCGAGGCGCACGAGCGCTCGTGAGGTAGGCGTGCTTGTGCTGCTGGTGGAGATGGTGAGAAAAAATTGAACTAAGGTTCTTAGAACACACAAACTATATATATGATTGTTCAGATTTGGACCAAAATACCTATGTTGAGCTTCTTTGGGCCTAATACTCGCATGACAGCTCAAATAGTCGGGTTCCCCAATGGGTAACGGGGACGGGTAAACAGGGAACGTTCCCGTACCCGCTATACCCATCAGGTATGGATTCTTGCCCATTTAGATGCCCGCGGGTAAAGATATGATCCCATCCCCGTCCCCTAATGGATCAAATACCCGTCGGGTATCGGGTATCAGGGCCCGTTGCCATCTTTAGGTTTGACTTGCGAATGCCTGTGATGACGACGTCAGGCAAAATTACTTCTACATTATTTTAAAGCAAATGGTCCGTAGCCTGTGGTAAAATTATTTTTGCGTGCCTACATCTACATGTTTAAACTATTTCCTTTTTTTATTTTTAAGTTATAATGCAAAAGAAGTGATGGTCTTAATAGATCCATAAAAAACCTGTTTCCTCTGGTGATGAAATTTTGGGTATTATATTGATATATACTCAAAGTTAAAAGTTTTCTTGATGTTAGCAGCTAGATGGACTTATAGTTGTGTTTCAACGAAGTAGTTGTGAGGGTGGCCCTCGATCGCTAGTCACTAAAGGCCCTAGTGGGCTAGTAGACAGTCATATTTTAGAACAGTACAAACATATGTAAATGGGGTACTCTTATATAACGTGTATGATGACGCATCAAAACTAGGTAATTACTATGCAAGGGTTCCGATAAAGATTTGAAAACAATCAAAAAATGCAGTTAATTAGGTATAGTAACGTTGAAATTGAACTCGTGAGTAATAGCTTTGTAGCAGGCTATTTCTTGCTACAACACATGAGATAGAGTACAACCTATTCTCTTCTTGCAGTTGAGTTTTAAGCTATTAATTGCAGCTTTTAATTTCAATTTCTTAGTACTACTTAATATAGCCAATACTATAATTTCTAAAAATATTTAATATAGTATTTCTTCCTTTACATGACCATAAATGGTTAGGTGCAATAAAAAACTCTTACAGTCTAATCCGAAATTATGCATAGTATTTTTCACATTAAAAGGATTTAACATTACAATTCACTATTACATTGACAGTCTATTTATTTTCCACATAAAAATTATGATGTGAGATTATGCAGTCATTCTTATTGCATGTTATCGATCGATGATTCTTTTATTAATAAAATAGTTTATTTCTATCAACTTTAATTTCGTTCAATTCTGATATTTTAATTATCCTTTTACATGCAAAAATAACTAACAGTGAGAAGACATGACATTTATGAATTCGTATAGCCTGCATGAATTAGGCATTCAGTTTGTATGATAAAACCTGGAGACCACCATGGTTTTTCATAAAGCAACATATAATGTGCAAATCAATCAATCTGTGCAAACTTGAAAATTACCAATCAGGACCACTGGATGTTGATCCAATGGATAGGGTGAGAAGGCTTAAGCGCAAAAAAAGGACGGCGGGTGGGGGGCTTAAGCGCAAAAAAATCCTACCTCTCACCCCGTTCATTGGATCAGCATCTAGTGGTCCTGATTGGTAGTTTCTAAGTTTGCATAGATTAGTTGGTTTACACCTAATACGTTGCCTTTTCATAATGAAGCAGGTGTCAACTCTTCTGCATGCTTTCACACACACCCAGTTGGCAATTTATAAGCAGCCCCCTTCCCCACATCCAAATTATAAACACCCTAGTGGAGCCACTACCCTATACTCCTCAATTCCCTCACCCTATATAAAAATGTATGAAATGGTATATCACTGTTGAAAACTAGTCAATGTAGTGGAATGCTTGTCCATTTCCCTATCCTTATATTTTATTCCCACATCAAGCTTGCTTATGCTTCTTCCCCACCCAAGTATTATTCTCATCACGTTCTTCTCTTCTTCCTTCCTGGTTCCTACTCCTCCCACACACCTCATTCCAATCCTACCATGGTGGTGTAGAGATAGACATATAGAGGAGGGAGCTAGAGAAGGAGAAGGACCTGATCTGAGAGGTAGAAGTCATGGGAGAGGTGAAACAGAAGGTGGCAACGGAGGATATCCTTGAAGAAGATGAGAAAAGATCTTCGGAGAACTCTGTACCACCTGTGATTCTGGACCTCAACAAGGGTTTCGGTGAGGCGAACGATGAAGGGGAAGCCGGCGACGATGATGACGGCAACGAAGAGGATGGTGACGACGGCGGTAGCACAAGTGAAGTTGAAGGAGGCAGGAGTTCATCAAGCAACAACAGCAGAACCAACCACACTTCCATGAGCAACAAGGATTGTGACATGGATAGCAGCAGTAAGGGTGAGGGCAGCGGAGAGAGGACGCTGACCGTGAGGCAGTACAACAGATCCAAGCTTCCCCGGCTCCGGTGGACTCCAGACCTGCATATGGCATTTGTCCACGCCGTGGAGAGGCTGGGCGGTCAAGAGAGTAAGTAATCTCTCATGAATTGTGTTGTTCTTTCCTTCCCAATTTTTCCTGTAAATTAATTACTTAATCCATAGGTGTTGTAAAATGTTTGTTTCAACTATGGATAGGAGCAACGCCAAAGCTGGTGCTTCAGATGATGAACGTGAGGGGGCTCAGCATTGCTCATGTCAAAAGTCACTTGCAGGTAAAGCAGATTAGAAATCGGCCTGCATCTCATGACTATTTAGTTGCTGTGCTAACTGGTAGTTGGTTTCTTCACATAACAAGCGTTGGGGCCTTTGGCTTTTCAGATGTACAGAAGCAAGAAGCTGGACCACGAGTCTGGTGGACACGAGAGAGCAGCCATCTCCTCCGGTTCTCATCTCAACCTCTCTCTCTCTCTCTCTCTCTCTCTCTCTCTCCCAATTTTAGTTTAATATCCTCCACAGAAGCATACTGCACACATACAGAAAACGCCATGGACTGGATCATGCATTTCCTTAACCTTCGCTGCACAATTTTGGCAGTTTTCTCGCCCATGGACTTCCACATGATGAGGAGAGGGGACCATCGCTTCCATGACATGTTCCTCCATCGAGCTGCCGGCTCGGTGATCTCCTCCGGCCGGCTGCTCCATAACGGGGAGTTGTTCGGGTCACGAAACGCTGTCTCGCCGGAGGCCAGCAGGCTCTACGCGCTCCTCCAACGCCGGCAGCAGCCTTCCATGCAAACGTTCGACTTCAAGAACTACAGTAGTAGCCTCAGGTACTTAATCAACCACCAGATCGAAATGAAGAGCGCCATGCGCACTCCACTTCTGTCATCCTATGATCGTGCGAAACCCTAACTAGTGTTTCTTACCTATGCGTATAGGGATCAAGAGTGGAGTTTCAGCCAGCATGCAGCGGCGGCGGCGAGAGCTGGGGCCATCAATGACCACGGCCCAACGAAAGGGCTCATCCACGATATGATCTTGAGAAATAACGGCAGGCCGACGTCCCATTTGTTCGACGTGCGGGATGCCATCGCTTCCAACCGGACGTCGTCGGATGCCGCGGGTCCTGCCAGCCACCTGAGCCACGGCGCAAGGGTCGTCAGAAGCACGGATTGGAACGGCACCAGCTCTGGGCCGCCCCTGTCTAGGACAATGTCGGCAGCTGCCTCCACGGGTCTTGCGTTGGGCAGTCACCATCTCTTGTCTAGGGGAAGAGGCTCCTCTAACGTGACGTCATCGTCAGATCCTGTGGTGACAAGTGAAGCCCAAGGCTCCCGGCTCCAGGTACACCGTTCGAATTCCTTCTCTATAACATTGTCGACGCGCCTCCATTGTTATTAGTCATGAGTCATAAGTCATGACAATGTTTGGCTTTTTGCTGTCATGGAACTGCAGACGCTCCTAGAGCCCAGCAAAGTAATCGGCGAGATGTGCGCTGGGACCAGAACGACGAAGAGGATGAAGACGCCAATGGAGGGGAATGTCAGCACGCCGGACTTGCAGCTAAGCTTGAGCCCCAACGACGACATGGGAGGAGATGCCGACAAGCAGCTCAAGAAGAGGAAGTTCCTAGGCATCGGATTAAGTGAACAGGAGGTGGACGACAGTGGTAAGACGACGCTGCCTCTCTCGCTGTCGCTGTCACTCCGTGGTGGCGAGTGGAGCGGCGGCGATGATGCCAGCAGATTAGAGGCAGCGACAGGTAGCAGCGGCAACAAGGCCGCTCTGGGGCGGAGTACTTTGGATCTGACCATGTCGATCAAGGCATTGGAGTGAGGAGATGTTTCACGGCCGTTCTGGGGGTGAGTACTTTGGATCTGACCATGTCGATCGATCAAGGCATTGGAGTGAGATCTTTCAAGTACTTGTCCCAAGGCCTTCCAAAACTTGCACACTGCGCCATGAGATTAAGTAATAAGACTGTTAGTTTAAGTTAACCATGCATGCTTCCAGACCAGACCAGACCAGACCAGACCCCATATAAATACATATCTATATGTTCACTGAGATGCACTAAGCTACAGACTGTTTTTCTTTGTGTATGCATAGTTACATCATGCTTTCTTACTTCTTTTTAATATAACAGACAGCTCTCCTACCGGTTTTGTTTAAAAACAATGTTTTTTTTGGAGAATCATGGTGTTACTGCACTTCAGGGTAAAGATATCAAATGCAAAAAGTAAAAAAAAATCTTCACATTTCAAATGTATTAATTGTTAGTCGAATTTATATTAGTATAAAATAGTTTTACCTTGGTGCAAAAAAGCAAGAAAACCATATTTACACTACTGTGTGTAAGATTCTTGAAAAAATTTAGACAAATCTATATTTGTTTTTTAAATAATATTATAAAAGCTATAAACAGTCAACAAATGTTTAAAAGTTTATTAGGAGCCTTGTCAAAATCATAAAGATTTTCCTATCACGAATGATCTAATATTTTGACCGCATTTACAGTACAGCAACAGGGATTCTAATGGGCAGCATAATTATTTTTGTTAATTACAGTACATATATTTGATCCATATTGTCATGTAAGTACTAGTATCTAATGACTAAACGATAGTACATTTTTTCATGAAGACCCTAGAATCTAAACTACACACAAGAATTAGTTCATTGACAAGTAATTATGCTCAGTCTTATAGCTGGAACATTACAGCAGCTTCAGTGTACAATGTGTGCCAAGAATGGACTTCATGTGCAACTCTTATTATTGTTATTAAATTATTATATTATTGACTCATTTGTGAGTTCATGCCATTATTGCTTAGGTGTATAATAACACCCAAAAAGGCGTATAATATGTTAATACATTGTGTGCATATTCGTAGCACAAACAATTTTATTCAAACAACAATTGACAAAAGTTCATTCATGTACTCATGTGCACTCATTCCATAATCCATGTACTTCAACTCCAACAAATGGTGTAAATTAAAATACATATTGAAATGTTATGCTCACAGCACAAAATGAATAATATGATATGATAATGGAAGAACTTTATTTGCACTAAATAAATCATTAATTATGTGGTGAGAATAATGTACCTTGGATTTTGTTGTAGGATATTGATCTTCTCTATTATGGGAATTATACAACTATGGCTTGATTCCATAGCACGAGGTACAGAAGATAAGCAGTACCATATTCCATGGATGATGTCTAAAGGACGTAGATTTGTGTTTTGTAGGACCATCTTAATTAAGTTCACATATCCCTATGTCGGCCCTTCATTTTGAGAGTCCTAAGTACACTTGTATTTGCGCCAGGATCACGCACAAGTACGCACATGATAACAGAAATGGCACACAGATATATGATAAAATACCAAGCTTTTATTAATATCTAAAATAAGGTCTTACAATAGTGGCCCAAAGGGTATAGCCATAGGCATTACATGACTAGCGGGGTTCTAATGTCGTGAAGCGGCATTTTATTACAGCGGGGTGGTAGCTACTATGGCGATAGTTTACAGCGTAGTGACACTCTATTCCACAGGTATGCTTGAGCATGGTCGAATCCCTAGGTCCTAAGACTCCTTCCAATGGTTCGTAATCCTTGTGTGACTCCTTGTTCTCATGGTTCACCTCTTTGTTGTAGTTGCAGTCCTCCTTGGGGTCGAAATCTGTGAGTCAATAACGGGTGACTACATATGTACTCTGCAAGCCCTAACCATAGGGTGTGGTGGAGTGAATGGTGGAGGCTATTTGTGGAGGTAGTGACAGTGGAGGCTATTTGTGGAGGTGGAGAGTGATGGTGGAGATGGAAATGATAAGGTGGTGTAGTTGTAGTTAGGGGGTTTGGGCCCTAGGAGAGCATTACCCTTCTTGCTAGTTTTCGGGTTAGTATTAAAAGTTCATTAATCATATTAGCACAGTTTTATTACACATAAAAGAAAGTCTAATCATAAGAGACCTCATCCCAGCAGTTGCCCATTCTAAGGACATGGCTATTCGAATAGATTCAATATGCTCTGCAGAGGGTGTACCCTTTCCCTAGATGATAGGAACAATCCCATCCATGATCAGCAGAAGAAACAGGGCTAACGAGACCCCGTACCCGAATGTACACGACCTTAGATTTTCATATAATTCTATCACGGCTTCTTAGGGGTTGGAAAACATGCAAAGCTTTGGATGATCACACAACATTCACTTCAATAATATATATAGAAAGGGGCTTGAACATGGCCAACAAAAATTTTACATGGAAGATCATATAGCATCCATGCCAACCAGACCATGGAAGGTCACCCAGCATTCGTGTCCTCTCCTAATAATCTGCTGCCAACACCGGCCTCCTAGTAAAAATTATACTTCTATCTAACGGGGTGTGAGATCAAGTCTATCCATATAGACATGTGGCTGTTCGAAATATCAGGCTAGGTGAGGTGGCCTATGAATCAGTCCTTATGTGACTAAGGCGAGTATCTCCCAACAGGACCCTCACCAGGCGATCCTACCAAGGTAATTTATACCACATAAATTACCACTCACTTGCCCCCTGCTGAAAATAGTTTAGGTTTGCCGGATTACGATTCACAGTTATTATTCTCAGGTTCATCCATATCATAGATATAGTTGGCCAAAAGGCACGAGGGCCAACAGCATGGCCCATGGCCCAAGCTTTTGGCCTGGCCCAGGCATGGCCCGGCCCGATGACTGTCGGGCCCGTGCCGGCCCGGCCCGGCCCGGCCATAGGGCCGTTCTTGGGCTGCCCCCTCACCCCGACATGCTGGCCCGGCCCAGCCCCATTAGGTGCATATATAAATATATTAGCCAACACTATAACCCTAAAATCTTTCCCCAACTCCTAATCGCCGCCACACGCACTCTACCTCAACTACGCTGACTCTGATTCACGCTCCCACACCGTCGCGACACCGCCCCCTCCCTTTTCGTGCTTCCATTCTCTAGTCTGCTCCTACCATCGTCTAGTGCGCGCACGGAGGTGGTGAGGTGGCAGCATGACCCTGGCTTGCGCGCCCTACCGGCGCGCGCGAAGGAGGCGAGGCGGCAGCACGACCCCTGCTAGTCGCACGCGGAGGAGGAGAGGCGGCGGCGCGGCCCCTGCTCATCATGCGCGGAGGATGCGAGGCGGCGCGACCCTAGCTGACGCACGTCGGTGTTGAGCAAGCTGCGGCGCGGCCTCAGCTCCAGGCCTTCTAGCTCTCGGGCGCAGCTCGGCCCGAGCAGGCCGTCGGCCTAGCCTGGCCCAGCTAAACCTTATTAGGGCCGTGCTTGGGCCATTGGTGCCGCCCGTGGGCTGTCATAGCATGGCCCGATGCACCTAACGGGCCGTGCGGGCCCGTGATCACCGGGCCGTGCCGAGCGGCCCGAATGGCCATCTATAATCATAGAGCTCATACAATACCATAAGAAGCTTTATTATACCATCATCATTCACATCATAATATACGAGCCCATAATTCGTCATATTTCATATATTCACAAAGAGAAGATGTAAATAATATAAATTGAGTTTATTAATTAATTAGTGGAAATGGAGGGTAGAGGGTTATGGTGGAAGTAGTAAGATGTGGTGGTGGTGGAAGGGGGAGCTTGGACTTGCCTTCATTGTTGTCTCCTTCCGGATCCTCAACGTAGTCCGGGTCCTCGCTTTCCTAGTACTCACCGTCCTTTGTCGATCAACGCTAATAAATAAGACTACCGCTAAACACGAAACAAACAGCAAAAACAATCAAATAACAATATGGTGGTACTAGGTAAAATAAATAGAGCTAGATTTTAGAAGAATTTTGGAAGTGGTTTCACAGGAAACGGAGTTAGTACGGGGGAGATATGATTTTTAGAAGTTTAAACATATTTTGTGAATAATGGGAATTTATGGAAATATTTTGGTGTATGGCAAATGTGTGAAAGTGATATGATTAGATTCCTGGGTGTATCTAGTTTATTTAGGAATTTTTTTGGGAATTTTTCTAAGCAAGGAAATTAGGCTTTTAACCCTCTATGTACACTAACCGAGTGTACCTAGCATTAATCGAGTGTTGTGCGCTGTGTAAGTGGAGTGTGTGTGACGGGTGGGTCAGGGCATCAACGACACGTGCCACTATCGCTTGGGCCTGCCCGATCTTTTATTTGGGATGGAGGGGCGGCATCATGGCCTCGGGCCCACTGGCAGAGGAGGAGGGGGAGACAGAGAGGGACGGCAAGGTGACGAAACGGCGTGACTCAGTGGTCCCACATGATAGAGAGAGAAAGTGGGAGAAGGGGATGATGGCGCCGAACGGTGGTGATCGGCGTGGCAACGGAACAGGGGAGAAGGGCTCGAGCTCGCCAGAGCTTGTTACGCCAGTGGCCTTAGCCCTTGGGGCTTAACACGAAGTGTTGAACGGTGTGCTGGGGACCAAGCCGCGACCGTTGGTGAAGTTGCAGGCAGCGGTGGGTGCCCGTGGTGGTGGTTGCGGCTCGCCAGAGTGACCGCGGCGGCGTTGTTGAAAGGTCCTAATGGCTAGAGGGGGGGGGTGAATAGCCTAATAAAAATTTCTACAACAACACTTAACCAAATGGTTAGACAATTATGAGGCGAAGCTAGTGTTGCGCTAGCCTACTCAAAAATGCAAGCCACCTACCACAATTCTAGTTTAGATAGTGTCAATTCACACAAGAGCAATGACACTACCCTATGTTAGTGTGCTCTCAAAGGCTAACTAAAGAGCCACACCAACCAAGCATGCAAGCTCTCACAACTAGCTACACTAAAGAGCTTGTCAACTAGTTTGCGGTAAAGTAAAGAGAGTGATCAAG